TTAACTTTTCATTTGTACTCAGCCTAGCATAGTTTTCAACATTTCCAGACCTTATTATATAGGAATAGGAGTAACAAGCCAACAGGGTTAACTGATTGCGGTTCAAATTACATAATCCTGGGGGGGTCAGTGAGCTGGAATACATCCAGCAGGCACGAGCAATTGGAATATCCTGACAACTTTTTGCAACCACTCTTGTTTTAAATCTAATCCATCGCCAGCTACAGTGAAACCTCTTATCAGCTCTCAAAATGAGTTTAGGTAGTGGGGCTAACGGCCGGTGGAAGGTGAGATGTAATTCTTGTTCCTTGGTTTTCTTGCTCAGCTTGCAGAAAGAATCCAAGGAGTAAGTGAATGTGCATGAGTCGTCCACAATATAATACTTAACATATTAAAGATTAATGTTGATTAGAAGAATTAAGGCATTCCGCATAGAGAATGCACACATTTGTTTCTGAAATTAATCTCAGAGAAGGGCACCATTTATATTGCACAGGTTTTATTTTTTTTTGGTACATATGAGAGTAGGGATATATAAGAGAATGAGATTTGATTAGTTAATCTTTTTCTCTGTTAAGAGAATAATAACAGTTAGATCAAGTCTGAGTTAATTATTTATATCGCATAGATTTATTAATTTGACTGTGATTAGCAGGATGTAAGGTAAATGACAACAAAATTTTTAAATGATTATAATAATCTTTGTTTATTATCCCAAGGTATGGTATTAATTAATAATTCATTTTTCTTAATATTTTATTTTAGAACGCAATTCACATTCAATTATATAATTATATAATCGCATATTATATATGAATGAGAGAAAAAAAACTTATAAAATCTCAATCAATATGAATAATCGATCGCAATCAACATAAATACAGATTAAGTTCACGTGAGTTATAAAAAAAATTTAGATGAATGCCATCTCAATCCACAAGTTATGATTAAAATCAAATAATTACAAAATTACAGTATTATATAAGAATTAAAAAAATCAATTGTAGTTGATATGAACCTTTCCTTATGTCTACAGAAGAATTTAATGATAGCTCACCCTTTCCTTTTATAATGCTTGCTGTAGAAGACATAGGTACCGAAGTGCTTGAACAAATATATAATTATTACCATCATTATAAAGGTGCCCTGGTACTATATCATTACTGTAAACAATCTGAAATATCGAATCTCATGCTGTTCAAATTCTTTGCTCTATGGTGATTTTTGCTCAAAAGGGCTATCTACTTTTCGCTCAAATGATAGTAGGCTAATGGGTTCTTTCCGTTTTCAATCTGGTGTGAATTCGTCTGGCAAATGTAGGCATTGTGCAAAGCCCAAGGCTTTTGTGAAACCAACATGAATGTTCTCGAAATTGTCGAGGTTGGGCTGCTCCTTTTAGGGCTTGCTTATATGTTGATTAATTTGGGGTTTCTTAAGTTTGGAGTTCAAGAACTGGTTTCTTGTCAGAGAACTTGAAAGTCCAATATTTGGCTCTACATCGCTTACATAGAATGAAGAAAAGCATCTAGGGGCCTTCCAGGGCCGATAGGCCCAAGTTCTTTCTTTTTCCAAGCTATTTACGTCATCAATATATAAAAAGATATAGGTGAGTCCCTTAGCGCTTTGGAACACACTTCTCACCTTTGCATAAGCAGCCATACTATCAACTATCAAAAGAAAAAAAAGGACAAAAAAAATCTTATTTTACAATATGATGCATAAATGTATTGATGTTTTCATTTTCAAATGAGGAAAACAAATATTTTTCAAACGTCTCAAAATAAAGATGAATTGTATTCGTTTAATGGTCATATGAAATTGTGTTTTAATTAATGACTTAATCTAAGTATCATTAGACGTTGAAGGCTCTAAAGCTACAAATCTCTTCTACAAACACAATCATACATGTACACATTGTCTAGCCATGGACCAAAAGGCCATAGGGGTGGAAAAACCTAATGATTTCTCAGAATTGAAAAGTACAGATACAAGTTGTAATAGCCAAACAAAAATTCAAGGTTTTTTCGTACATTTTCAATACTCTTGCAGTTTCAGAGGTTTGGGAGGTAGGGGAATTTGGGACAGCTTTTACACTATTGTTAAAGATTTGGGAAATTCTTTCCTATTTACTTGGAGAGATCTCTTGCTTTCAGATGAAAAGGGAAAGAACTTTTATTTTTTAAAAAGGAAAACTACAAAAAACTCGTGAAGGTAAACAAGGAAGACTGAACATAGACAAAGTTATCCAAATTTGTGTCTGAGATCCCTACAACATCTTCATGCATTTCACCTTGCATAAGCGACATAGGAATGGAAGAATTTCGGTCCAAAGACATTAGATCTAAGACCTCTCCACCCTTCCCCTTTAAAGAGTGCATTCCTACCCCCTAAAATCAAATCCAACCCAACCAACCAACCAACTTTTTTATTGTCTCTATTCATATACCATATATATATATATATATATATATATATATATATATATTTCAGAGAGAGAGAGAGGAGAGAGTAATATTGAATACAGAAACTTACATTTGAAAGCTTGGAGGTTCTATCATGACAATTCCTTCATTTATAGCCCCACCTCCCAAAATTTCATCTTGCACCTCTATGCCATTATTTAAGTTTCTCTTCTTATGAAGTTCATAAATATAACTTATCACATGATCCACAACTATTAATTTCAAGGAAGTGCTTCTTATAGAATCCCTTCTTCAAACTCCGGTGATAATTTGAGAGTTAACACTACAAAATAACAAATCATTTCCGACAAATTTTTAGTTGAAAATCCAAAGAAAAAGAGTATTTTCAATGAATTTGCAATGAAATAATTTATAGGTAATACTATCGAATAAAATCAAATTTATAATAGCATTTCGACGAAATTAAAAACAATATATTTTTTTCATGGTAAAATTAATCAATCAATAGGCAAAAGCTAGAAATGGAAGTCCAAATTCGAAGAAAAGACTATACTTGGAAATTACCAATAAATCAGTTGGTTGCGCCTATATAAATAAATTAAACCAGGTAAGACCACTTCTAGAAAATGAAATCCATGAATATATACAACATAAGAACTTATCTGAAAAGTTAAAAAAAAAGGTATATGGATAAAATGGATTGCATGAAATGATAGGACAAAAGATAGAATGTGTCAGAGAAGGGATGCAATGAACATTGCCGGGGGAGGGATATAGGAAAATGTCCTAAATACTTACCCTTCTCGAATAATCAAAGCCTTTGTGGGGATGTTGGGGCCTCAGTGGGATATCTCACAAGGGTCTACTTGATGAGACATGAGGTTTGACCCTTTTATTTCTTTTTCCTTTTTAAAATACTCTTTTAGTTATTCTTCTAATACACACCATGGAATTCATTAAGTTAGATGGGAAGGGGGGATGTGGCTCTGTTAGTGAGTCATGACCCTTGAGACATGAACACTAACACAAGTCGACCCTGCCTTGGGAGGCAACCTACCTCCCACGTTCCCCTCATTTAATACTAGAGCAAACAAAAGAAAAAAAAGGGGTTGTTCTGCTTTTCCTTTTCTTATTTCTTTATTTGAAGTTGGTTATGCTTATCGTCTTCTTCATTTCTTTCTTAAACAAATCAATAGGAATTTCAAAAATTGCCACTTATATATACACACACACATATCCAATATCTAAGAGAGAAAATTATGCAATTATATGTACCCTAAGATACGCTTGGTAGAGTATAGAAGATTATGAAAGCCTTTAAATGAAAATTGGAGATCGCACTTCAGTCTTTTTCTATTTAGGTGGAGGAATTATTCCTAGCAAGTGCCTCCGCACGCACTACGAACTAGTCTTTTACAAATCAAACTTATTTGGCCGACCTCCTTCCATTTAAAGCCCCACCTGCGCTCCTTGAGGAAATTTAAAGGTGTGCCTTGTTAGATTTCTCCGATAGATATGAGTGAAGCAACTCAGAAACAGGTTGTGTAGAGTTGGATTATATGGAAAAGATTTACTCTATCCGAATGAAAGGTTAAAGGGAACATACCTCATTTATTGGAGAGCATTAAATTGTCGAAGTTCAAATATCTTATAACACTTTAGCAAAAAAGAAAAAAAAATCTTATAGCAAACAAGAGGTGCAATTAATTAAGGTCAATAGCAGTAATCAATCATTCGGTAAATATGAAATAGAATGTCTTAGAAAGGACCGTACTAAAAAAGACTTCATTAAATGTTAATTATGATACAAATTAAGTATGTCTTGACATCAAGTTAGATCAGTCATATATTAAGATTTTTACAAAAAATATATAATAGATTCTAAACAATAAACATATTTATTAAATCAAATTGAATTTCAGCGAATCCAATGGAAACGCAAAGTGCAATTCGAAGAAAATCAATGCTGACAATGGACCACCAGTATCAATCTTTTATAACTTTCATTTTTTTCACGTGGTTTAATATTACGTCAGAATATAATGGTTTAGACTTTAGATATAAGCTGTGAGAGCTAGCTGGGTAACGCACAACAACAAACGCACAAAATGAAAGGAAATTCCATGCATGGAGGGCCGAAAAAATAGAAAATTTAACTGACCAAAAAATTCTCATCTTTCCCACCTGTGAGCGTATTGTATGTATGACGGATGGTCAAATTCTCTCTAAGCACCAACATAATTACTTAATGTGGTACTACCCTCTGTGTGAGGGTTAAGTTCTAATTAATGCATGGGAAAATTGTCAAAGGACATGAAAAAATTTTTCCCCAAATTTCTTTCGATCGACGACGACCTCCTAATTAATCCCTAATGATTCTTCGAGTTATTGCACGTTTTGGTGACGAAAGTTTGTTTTCGGTTGAATGGGCAAGAATATATAGAGATGTAGAGAAAATTTAGAATTTTAATCAGAATATGAAAACATACGATGAAATTCTCTGTCGCATTAAGAACAAGAAAAAAATTCACCCTTTACAAGTAAACCAAAAGCATCACCGCTACCCAGTACAGAAATCAACTAAATTCTAAATTCCATCTCTTATCTAAGCATCGGCATATTGCCCATAACTTGATGATGAGATGGCTGGCAAGTTTTCAGCAAAGAGGAGTAGCCCACATCAGCAATTGTAGCACTTGGAAACCCAACACCTATTGGCCTGTTAACTGCAGCCTGTTCCAAAGATTGCAACCTGTCTCTTCAAGAATTTGACATAGTGAATGGCCTCGTCCAACTTGAAGCTGTGTCCATCTTAGTGCCTCCGGGAACAAGTCTTTGCAGTATCCTTATCCGCTCACTTATCCGCTCTCTTCTATGCCTGGCGGCCACACTCTGGGGATCCTTAGAGATCTTCACGTTCCTTCTTTTTGGAGGCTTGATGGATTCTGGGTCTATATGAATAGGCTGCATTGCTGCTATACGGAAAATCATCTCCCTCATTGCAGCCATGGAGTTTTTCTTATCTACTGAAGAAGGGTATGGATTTGTATAGTTGAAAGGAGTTGGATGTTTGTACTTGTTGCTATTGGCCATATTGTTGGGCTGAAGAGGTGGAGTCACTGGTTCTTGAACTGGGTTGTTGCCAATGAATGACAAAGTGGGAGGCAGGGTCATCAATGTATTGAGTGAAGAAAAGTTGGGGCTTGGGTAAATGGGTGGTATGGGCAGGATGCTGGAGCTTGAAGTCCCATTAGAGAAGCGGATTTCAGGAAATGTGGAAGGGCTCTGGAAAGGCTCACAAAATTCAGGAAGCTTTTCCATTTGCATCATCATTGTCATCATATCCATGTGATCTTCTGTTGAGGATTTCACCAGGTCAACATCCATTGAATCTCACACGCACTAGAGTCTTCCCCTTTAAAAGTACCACTGCGTACGTGCGTGCGTTGAGAGAAAGAGAGATGGGGAAGTCGGAAATGATAGTTCTGAAAGGCTGAATGGCCAGAGGAAGGGGGGGAGCTGAAAGATAGCTGTTATAGAGTTAGGGTTTTAATCAGAGACATGTGCAGAGAGATAAGGAGAGATGAAAAGTGTTTTATAAAGTATACCAATTTCCAGCAAGGAAGAGGAAGAGCTTTATATAGCAACTTGTGACCAATTTTTAAAAATTCATGCAAAGCTGATAGGAAAGTCCCCTCCCCCAAAATCATTTATGATTGAATACGTGATCTCTGATAGTGACCGCGCATTATGTGGGCCTAACTCTAATCACTGATCCTATCAACCATCCGATCTAGTGACCAGGAACACCAACTGAAGTTCAAAGCCAACACGTGTGAAACATCCGATTGGTCACGCGTCTAGAACCACAAATTGGAAGGCTTGGATTAAAGGAATTGTTCAAATAAGGTGCATGAACCACTTTGTTCTTATGGATTGCGCCTTTGAGTACTGAAAGTGCTTGCTTTGCATGCTTTCCCTTTAAAAATATTTTTTTTGCTTACTTTGTTGAAAGAAAGACCATGGAACCCCACAGTCACATGACATGTGTCAGAACGGCAACCGCTTAGCGGGCTCCGGTGCCGGAGAAAGATTTCGGTGATTTCGGGAGACACTTTGACGAAAGTGAGACAGCAAGCTGTGAACGTGGGGTTAAGGAGTCAACTCAATTGGAACTTTACTGTGTTGTTCTGCTTGGGCAATGTACTAAGGTGGTGCTGACGTACACTTGCAGTGGATACAGTTTTGGTCTCTCAACTCTCGCACTAATCACTGCTTGCCTTTGGCACGCTATTCAAGGTGGATTAGAGGGTGACGGTGATGCAGACCCCACTGCAAGTACACAGATGCTCCTTTTGGGTGAAATTTTTCTTTGTTGCTTGCTAACTGGTTGTAATAAACTGACACTTTCATTCCTGAGCTGCGTTTTCTCCGTTTTCATCAACCAGCATCTATAAAAAAATTGTCCACAGAAAGGACAATAAATTTGATTGACTTGGAAAAGGAATTTAAGTTTGCGTGAGAGATGACAAGAACATTAACTAACAAGATTGTTTCTAACATGATCCTTAACTATGCTCTCAAAATTTTCAGGGGAAATTTATTATAAAGAAACATCGGTATTGGAACAAGAATAACCAGACTGGGATATCATTGATGTTTTCATGGTGGGTGGTGCTTATCTCCACTGTTTAGTTGGGGAGCATCTCTATAAATTTCAAACTCCCTCTTAAATGGAACTAAAACACAAACCTTAATACGTGAAAAGGCCATTGGCCATTGTTGAAGAAGAAGTTTAATTGAACAAAATGTATAAATTACAACTAATTGTGCATAAAAATGGTTTTACTCACACTTTCACATCATACTGTCAATGAATACAGAAAAACTCTCTAATTAACAACACAAATTAATGAAAATGTTTCATCAATATATATCTTCTTTGATCTACTGCTTTAGGATTTAAACCATAGGTCAGAGTAATTCAAATCATATATAAATGTGCTGTTTTCATTTGTGTTTCTGATTAACAATAACGTTATCCACCTACATACATATTAGTGTACCATACTGTGTAGTTTTCTTGTATGTTAAGAACACGAAACTCACTGTGTATTTTGGAAATGATACTGTGTAAGGACCATGACAAGTACATTTGAAGTGCACATGGGGGTCTGAGACTCGGTTTTTCCGGTAAGCACAAAAACCAATATTTAATTCTGCATCAAAATCAGATAACTTCCCCCTATCTTCTGCCTCCCAGGCCATAGAAGCAAATTAGAGTCAAGGAAAATATTTTTAAAAAAAAAGAGGAACAGTCATAAAAATGATTTGTAGTAGAAAACAGTGCATATTTTGATTACGTCTTGTAATATTTAAGAAATCTTACAGAGCAGATAATTGCATTGCTCAGAAAGTGGTCCCATTGCTCATGAATCCTCAAATTTTCTTTGCACTACCTAATATTCTTCACCTAAGAACGATCCCTTTCATACAGGTTTCCGAAATGAACAAAACAAAAAGCCGCAATAGAAATTCAACTTTGTCAGATTTGTCTAGCTTCGATCATCCAATTTATCATTAACAATACTGGCGTCTGGAGAGAACCCTTTTCCGTGCCTTCGAAAATAAAAGACAACCCTTTTTTTTCATGCATTCATGGAAATGAAGGCAACACAAAGAGATCTTCGAACTTCGAAACTTGACAGAGAAAATAAGGTGGCCTATCTTCATGTTGGACTGTGCTTCAATGATGGAGCAGGGGTCCATTTCCCCAAACTTCTAGTCTCCTACAAGCACGCAAAAGAAAAACAGTGATTCATTCATAACTGCGGGTCCGTTCAACTCTGCCAAAGTGCCAATTCAGGCCCTGCCGATGCACCTTATTGAAAACTCTAGGTCAAGATCTGATATATAGCAGCTCTAAAGTCCAAACAACTCCTCCCTAGTCCAATCGGTGGGATAACCTTTTGGGTTCCGTCGGTTTGTTTATTCAATTGAAATTGGAGTTAACTGGCAAGTTCTTGATGGTTTTCTTTATCTGCTAGCTATTTTTGGCATAGTGGACAGGAATCTAAACGACGATAAAGACAATGTGGAAAATGGACCACAAAAACAGATGAGATAGTCATGATGGAGTCTATCGCGGCACCCGTTGTCATTATTTGCTGTGCTGATGTTACATAAATGAGCACGACATCTTTCTTTGATGAACACACCGTCCAATTCTATAACAGAATCCAAGGGCTTAATGAACCAAGCTTATCTAAGATGGGAGGAAGACTGACATAAAGCGTGAATGATCATTAACCACTTGGATTAAGCCATGAGACGGCCTTTTAGAATCTAAGGTAGAGTCCCATTAAGAAGTTTGGATTTCCTTGTGATTAATACTAGTATATAAATTTAAAGGGTTTTTTAGATGGCGTAATTACACCAGAGATGAAATCATACTCAACTCAAAAGATAGTAACACGAAAGCCAGTACCTCAAATCTAATATAATTTGAATTTTGTCGAATCTAAAACTCAAAATAGCATGATTGGAAAATTTTTTAAAAAAAGGATTAATTCCCTGTCTTTCCAATATTTTTATTTTCAAAGATACACCACAAGTTGGATTGTTTCACAAGCTAAGTCATTTCGTCAGGAACAATTAGAAAATAATTTATATTAGTATTGGCAATACCATACTTTGATAAAATTTATGGGCAATGAAAATCTATCAAGAGATTACTCCATTCATACAATACATTATTGACAAGAAAAAATGCTGAAAAACATCTTTAAAAACGTTTTAGTAATTAAAACTTGATATTTTAACTTGTTGATCTCGAATTTAAAAGTTGAAATATATAAAATTAGTGAAATTTATAAAATGATAGGGTACTACTTAAGGTCAAGTAATTCAAAATTAAAGATATATCTTATAATCTAAATTTATATATAGAAAATAAATGAAGCAATTAATATTGAAATTCGAATGACTATCCAAAATTCATGATAAAAGTCAAAACAATCCAATATAATTTGAACAAAATTGACTTGAAATCCCCACCCAAACTCAACACGACGCAGCCAATTATAATCATTATTATTTTTGTTTGATAATTGACACAACCACTTACTGCTTCAACTTAATAGATTATTACTTAGCAAAACAAAGAGGAAAACAATTATTATTTGTTGCACATAGCGTGGAAGACACCCAACGAAAGAAACAGAAAAGAATCTCAAAGGAAGGAACGAGCTATACTTGTGGATGGGACCAATAATTCCCGTTCTTTAGTGACTAAATTAAGGCGCTTTACAGTGGCACCCATGGCCTAATGGATAAGGCGCCTGACTTCTAATCAGGCGATTGTGGGTTCGAGTCCCACTGGGTGTGTGCTTCATATTTTTCTCACCCTTATGTAAATAGAAAGGACCACAAGCCCATTATTCCTAGCAGGCCCAGATCACTATTGAAGGATTTTTATGAGACCCAAAATTCTATGAATTCCCTTGAGTCATGATCCCAAGAATCCAACCTAGCCCACTCGATCTGGTAAGATTGTGGTTTGGCCCACTAGTTGGCAAATTCTTCTTTCTTTCAAGTTACTCATTATTTACTGATCAATTCATCCATAACCAAAATACCTTCATTATCTTAATGCAAAAAATGCACAATAAATTCAGATGAAAATTTAAAGATAAAGAAATACACTACTAAATCTAAATGAATTCAGATAAATTATTATTGTCTTGCTACAAAACAAAAAAAAACTGCCCTTAAGCTGTTCCCAAAAAGGGACAAATCGCCCTAAATTGCAACATTAGTACTTCAATTATTAAAGTTCGAAAGGGCATCAAGCGGCCCAATCTAATCCCACCACGTCGGGCCAGCGTCCAGCCGCGTCCTTCACCATCATCCCATCACCGATCAGTTGCATGTGCATGATGTCTCCTATCATTTGCCAGTCTGGCACATGCCCCATTTTACTCTACTCATCACAGTTCAACGAATTTGATTGGGCCACGTATGATGGAACCCACATAAACCTCTCACAGATCATAAAATCAAGCGGCTGAAAACCAATTTGAAACTATGAACTCGAACACACCGAAGACGACATTCCTTTTGATGAGTACTAGAACCGAGGCACGCGTTAAATGGAGCATTGATGAAGCACAGCTGGAACCCAATCACCTCTCTGCTCCACGTGACCCTACTGTACCCTTAACCAAACCCAAACTACTTTCATTACAGTACTTTAGCTCGTTAACTCTTCTTCTACAAGCTCGCAGCTTTGCAACTCGTTTACTAGCAATGGCTTCTTCACTTCTTAGCAAGCTTGTTTTTCTCCTTTTCATCACCTACATTGTCTTGTCGAGCTCGAAAGTTGCAGCCCAAGTTGAAGAGACAAGCTTGACGCTTATGAGAGATGCTTTGGAGTGGCCACTCTCAATGTCGCTTTACAGCGACTTAAACGACAATGAGGAAGGTGATGAGGAGATAGATGATGAAGAGGAAACTGGGTATAGTCGTAGATCTTTGTTTTGGAAGAGAATGAGATATTACATTTCGTACGGGGCGCTTTCTGCTAACAGAATCCCATGTCCACCGCGGTCAGGGCGGTCTTATTATACACACAACTGCTTCAAGGCTCATGGTCCTGTCCATCCATACACCAGGGGATGTTCCAGGATCACTCGGTGCCGGAGATGAAGGTTATTAATTTAGGCTCTGAGCTGGGTAAAATTTGGTTTTGTAAGGATTAAAGTTTATATGTGCTACTGTGGAAGATTTGAGTGTTATATAGCTAATATGGCATGAGTTTTGGGACTTGAGAGGGTTTTTTTTCTATTTCCTTTCTGGTTGTGTTGGTGTGATTTTGATGCTGTAGGCGTATTTTGTGTTGGCGCATTGTTATGTGGATTAGCGCTGTGATTATATGTGTAATGAGGTTTAAACTGCTTTATCTTAATGGTAATTGTTTCAAGTAGTATATACTAACTTTTTGGCTTCGTTGTATTTTTAATCCATTTGCTCGATTATCATATGATAGAGCTGTTCCTGTTCTCATATGTGGTCTGCTAAACTTACATAACATGTAATTGCTTGACGACTTGAACTTGCTAGATCTTTTTCAGTGTCAGCTCATGCAAGATTGGGATTGCTTTTGTTGTTGTTTAGTTTAGCTTTGTTAATAGATTCTGAGATCAATTTGGAAGATTTGGGTAATGTGCAATCTACCATTTGAGCGTTTTAAGGTATAATGAGTTCGGTTCTGGTTATGATTATTGTAGGTAAACAATGTAACTAACATAAGAACTTCGACTGATTTGTCATAATTAATGAGTACTTTCTTGACTAGACCGATTTGTCATAATTTAATTATATGTCAAATTATGAAAACATTACATTATTACTATATAATAGGGTAGAGTTATGTTAAGTAAGCTTCTGCTTTGGTGAGTTAACGGGCAAATGGTTTTGGATAAGATTGTGAACATTTAAATTCTGATTATTAGTTTTCAATTCTGGATTGGTTTTCTCGTTTATGTTTGCTTTCAATTGTTGTGAGTTGCTTGATTGCCTCGTTTGGATGACGAGTGGATTCCAGGGAGAATTGTCTTTTACATTACTCTTTTCCATTCCAATAAGCAAAATTAACCTGGTGTTTATGTCTGTACTTGGGTAATTAGTTTTTGGCCGCCTAGCCTCAAGATTATTACACCAAGTACTAGCACATTTCATGTCGAGCTGTGGGTCAAAAAGGAAAAGAAAAGAAAAAGGTTAAACACTTTTCAAATCTTCAAAAATATCATATGCTGTCCCAGCTACTTTCCAGCAACTTACTTTACCCTCATTAATGAGACAACTTTAATGGTGGATGGATCATGAGGGGTTGGGGTAGTTGTTCAAATTTTGATAGAGGATGGAAGGAAGAATCAAGAATGAGGTTCTCCCTCTCTCTTTTGCTTAACCAAAAGGAAGAATGAGGTTGAAGGTGTTTATTTGTAGTACGCTGTTTCTCCCCAGTGGTGATTTCAGATATTCCATTTCTTAGCGTGAGACTGACTGTTAAGGCTCAGTGAACTACTTTTAGAAGCCAGATCAGTTCTAGTACTCACAACTCACTCCACAGATGATGTCTTTGCCCATCATCACTGATCATTTTCTTTGTTATTTGGCATAAACCTTATGCAAACTGTAATGGATTCAATTCCAGTCATGACTGGTTAAATCTGTCATCTCTCCATCAACAAAAAAGAGCTGGGGCTTCAACTACAAGTCATAAGGAGGAGTCGAGGCCCACTTACTGAGTAGGATACAAATGGGCAGGTTATGGCTGTTTATATTTTAGGCAGGGCAAAATTGGGCCTGATCCATATGATATTCTAAACAGGAATTATTTCAACCCTAACTAACCACAAAGTCAACCAGGAAAGTCGAGAAATGCGTATGAATATTTCCTAGATGTGCTTGCTTACTAGTGTTTTAGACGTTGCCATGGGTTGTAGAGCTAAGACCTTTAGCTAAGTTTTCTGTAATCAAATAAAAGCTCTATTTTACTCAATTTCAAGCCAAAACTCAAAACAAAACCATAGGTTAATCAAGTCAAACTCAAAGAAATCACTATTCTAATTGGCTTGTTTCTTTTTATTCGTTCTAGAACTGGAGGTTGAGACCAATGATGAAATCGAAGCAGGTAACAAGCAAGAAAAATGTGTTGTGGCTTCTACACGCCTTTTTGTTTACCAACTTTGCTCTAGAACTCAATTCAGTAGAAAGTTGTAAACCGGTTTCAGAAGACTGAGCTTAATTAATTGGTTAGGTATTATTCCTCAAAAAAAAAAAATCCCTTTGTGAACTTCGATTTGTATTTTCCCCTTCAACCCAGTTCACTGTTTGATCTATAAATCAGGTTATCAGTTCTGAAAGTTTTTGTCTTAAAAGCATCAAAATGTGTAGTCATTCAATTGCTTCGGTCCTTTGGACATGTGGTCGGCACAAATTAGATTCACTGGGGTTACTATAAATGAAAACTGCGGCACGATCTATGCAGCAATCACAGGAGTTGGATCAGTCACGGCTACATAGAATCTGAGCAGTAGGAACCATGTATCCTAAGTAAGATATGAAATCTCTGTCAAAATCCCAGTTGTAAAAACTCCCAATCTGTCTGACATAATTAGACTAATGTGTCAATTCTTTGAAGATATGAAGAAATCTTTGTTAGCCCAAGTTTACTTTGGATGCCAAACCTGGGGAAATACCCTTAATCTGTGTTGCACTTTTGAAAGTCTCTATCAGACTAGATTTGCGCTTAGTGGAAGAACAGTGCAAGCCTTGTTGCAAACTCCATTCAAATCTAAGATACAATCAAAGAGATTCGAGAGTCCAAGTTTTTAAGGTGAGCTCAGTTCCTGATTCTTGGCTGGTATGATTAGAGAGTAGAGTAGTTAGCGGCGTCGGTGTCTGCTGATATCAAAAACCAATTGGTCAAGTAAATCAAGTTGGAGAGTTGCAGTCCCGGTGGGTGTGTCTTTCAATCAAAATTGGTAACAGTCCTACCTTGAATCTTTCAGTATTTTGACAATTAGCTGATCCAACGAATATCGTCTTCAATCAAAAGAGCAGCCCCTGGTGGGTGGATTGCCATCAACTGGACCACTTTCTTTCTCTACCTAACAAAGTATAACTAAAATTGGTGTCCTTTGTGATTTGTCCTTAATGAAGTCATTGCTGAGGCAAAGATTACACGAGACCTCCTAGGGTTGCATAATATTCCTGCAAGCACTGCACGCATCACTTTCCTTTAACATTTAACTTTAGACATAATAATTTTAGACGCAATACATTAACACGATATGAAAAAATATAAAATTAAACAAATTTAGGTTTAACCTTAACGTGTTTCGTGTCTGATATGTTTAAGGCATAAAATTTTTTGTACTTTTATATGTCAGACGCGAGTAACACATTTAAATATGTTTAATTAATCGTATTAATCGTGTTATCGTATTTAAACATATAAACGTGTTTAATAGTGTAATCGTGTTTAAACATGTATACATAACACGATTATCAACTTGTTAAAATTAATAGTCAAAGGTTGTTTTACCCTTACTTAAATAATTTTAAACAATTATTTTAATAAAATTTTAAATTTTATAAAGATAATAATGTAATTATGTCATGTCCAAATCTTAATTTTAAATTTTATTTAATTATATTTGATGTTCTTGTTATTTTGTTTTGTTACAATTATTTTTATAATTATTGATTTTAAATGTAAATAATAAAATTATATTTAATTGTAAATTTTTTTATTTAATCGTGTTAAACATGTTAATTGTGTTATTAATCGTGTCATGTCATATATTGACACATTTAATAAACATGTCTAAATGTGTCATATCTTGTTATACAATTATTAAATGCATACGTGTACATGTTTCAGATTCAAGATACGAATAGTATTCGTATAGTGTTCGTATTTAATTTTAACGTGTTTCGTGTCTAATCATATCTGACACATTTAAAACACGAAAACATGAATTGCCAAATCTATTTAACTTTCATTAGTTAATTTAATTTAATTTGAAACCATCTTTTTATATACTTATTTTTTTGTCTATCAAGCACAATTTTGAACAAAGAAAGGTAAAAGAAACCCAATTGTTTTATAAAAAAACACATACATATATTATTAAATTAAATATTCAAATATCATTTTAAATTAAAAATTAATAACTTCACATCAAATTTTATATATATATATATATATAGGAGAAGTAAAAGAGTAGAGGTGGTGAAACAAATCCGAACTCGAAAATTCATTTGAAAAAACTCAAATTTAAAATTAATTAAATTAAAAATAATTAAAATTTAATATAATTTTGACCGAAACAATGTGAATCTTAAATGATTTAAACTTGATATGAATTTAAATGATTTAACTCATATAAAAAAATGCATGTAATTGCTTAATATATTAACTGTTTAGGAGTAAAAATGGAAAAGGTCAGGTTGAATCTCTGGAAATAACAGCATGGATTAAAAAGGTGGGTCTTCGATTATCCTAAAATAGCAGCTTTGGTAAAGTGAGATTCAAATCATTGGACTTTCAACGCCGACTCACTTTGGTGGACGCTTTCAAGAATGGCTTGCAAGTTAACGTAAGCCTCGATGTTGATAAATTAGTACCCACTTTCAATGAACCAAATTTTCCTTTATCTAATATTTTGTTCCAAGTTCAGCAGCTAAGCCAATTTTTGAGCTTGGCCAAAGCCTAATCTACACAGTTGTTTTTATCTTTTTAAACGTGGGGAATTGTGAACCTGCCTTGTTCTTTCGCTCATGTGAACAGTCTTGCTCAGCATTTTGCCCACTTGAAGTCTAAGCCAGCTGAAAGAGTTAGCAATAATTTAAAGCCAACTTGATCTCTAACATTTTAAAAGGGGAAAAATAAAAAAAAAA